GATAGCATATATTAATTCTAAAACATATTTAAAACTTAAAGCACATACATACACCTGATAATGAAAGTATGACATGTGGCTTTACTTCTCTGGCTTCAAATTCTAAACACTTTGAAGTATATACACCACAGAGCTAAAAGAGCTGGGCTCTTCTCAAATTTATTCCAAATGACACTGTAATTCTATCAAACCTAGATTTAATTCTCCCATTATTCAAGGTTTTTTTTTTGTTTGTTTGTTTGTTTGGTCATTTGAGCAAAGAATCATTGCAAGCTATGTAATCACTTATACTTTCCATCAATTTCAAAATAGCACATACAGTAACACTGACTACCAATAAACCTATTTCAGATACTGCTATTTCTGTAGATGTTCATTTACTCTAAGATTTAGAAATCATTTAGAAACACAAAAATGACACAGACTAAGACAAACTAAGTTTTCATTGTGCTTTGGAAAGGTTTGCCTACCTGATATTTCAAACAATGCTTTGGGGTGGTATTTGCATGACTACATTTCAGGTGAGGCAAAAGAAGTTTAAAAAGTATATCCAAATGACTAATAAATGTATGAAAAGGCACTCAACCTAGGTCATAACAGAAAGGCTACACACACCTACATGAATAACTAAAATTGAAAAAAGACTGACCAATGAAGGTCAAGTTAAGTGAAAGACGGAAAACATAAGAGAGTGATGAATCACAACATACAATGCCATTTTTATTAAGTTTTCTTTTGAGAAGAGAGCACAGTAGGAGACAGACTAGGGGATACACCTTAGGAGGCTTCAAGTGTGCTGGTTGCGCCCTATTTCTTGATCTGACTGGAGGTTACATTAGTATGTTCACTTTCTAATAATTCATCAAGCTGTATCCTTAAAAATCGTATACTATTTTGTGTGTAGGTTATACAATTAAAAGTCAATAAATAAAAGTTCATTAAATTTTTAAAAGTGATATTGTCGTATAAAATTATAGCCCCTGTAAATCGGAAGAGAGTGCGTGTAAGGGTGTACGTGTCTCAACTCATGTACTACTCTGAAGTACTGCTATCATCACCACTTATAAATGAAGAAACTGAAGTACACAGAAATTAAATAACATGCCTAAGATCACCTCACAACCAATAACTGGTAAAGATAGGATTAGAACCAGGCACTCAAGCACTAGAGCCCCACTTTCCACTCTTCAACTATTCTGTGGCATGGCATACAGGTGGCTCGTTTCTTTGTGGATATTTTAAGGGTTTTGAAAATATGACTCTAAGCCGGATCTAAATCAGGAAGCACAGTCAAACCAAGTGAGGTATTTTCAAAAATGCCAACCATTTATTACTACTTTCCAAAATCAGGGCTCTAGGAGATGGGTGCAGTGGCTCACACCTATAATCTCAGCACTTTGGGAGGCCAAGGAGGCAGGATCACTTGAGGTCAGACATTTGAGGCCAGCCTGGGCAACCTAGCTATACCCCATCTCTACAAAAAAAAAAAAAGAAATTAGCTGGACATGGTGGCATATGCCAGTAGTCCCAGCTACTCAGAAGGCTGAGGCAGGAAGATCCCTAGAGCCCAGGAGTTCAAGGATACAGTGAGATGTGACCACAGGGTGACATGGGGAGATCCTTTTTCTAAAATAAATAAATAAAAAATATGGCCCCCAGAGAGCAAAAGATTGGTTTAACTTAGACACACAGAATTGGGGTTATTGTGCAGATTCATGCCAACTGTCTTTTCCTTGTTATTTACTTACATAAAATATTTTACATATTCCAAATGTTAGTCTACTCATTTTCTACACCTTTGAATTTCTAAGTTCAAAATTAAAAATAGAAGCTAAAACATAATTTAGGAAATCAAAGAGCCAAGGATGACATTCCATAGAGTGTTCTTTTAAATGTGCTCAAATGCTTAGCAGACAACCAATCCTTCTTTTATTTCCTATTTTATACTGTTTTTATTCTCTATGATTTAAAGAATGCTGGTGTCTAGAATTCTTAAAATCAAAATGATGAAGACCACCAGCAGGACAAATGCTATTGTTTTTCTCTCATCTCAAGCTCAGCTAGAAAATAAGAGAAATTATAAAATATTTAATGATACACTTCACATAAATCCAGTTTAGTAAGCAAGTTATCTTGAAAAGACTCTTGTTTTAGACAGTTTGGTAGAGGAACTTCATTTCATACATATCATCAACAAATATCCAACAACTTAGTTATAAAGATACTTCCATCAGGTAAGTGAAAAATCAGCATTTGCACTAATAGTTAAGCAAAATAAATATAAGTTTCAGTTCCAGGGATGGTAATATGGTAATATGAATTGATGGTTATCAATATATGTCAATTGATAACATTTTTACTGAATGATGCATTTATTACCTGATTGGCAGGATTATCTTGTACACTGACAAATACATAGTTGTATCAGCTGATTTAAGTTCAACCATAATAGGTCTTTTGTAATTTTGACTTTCATTGTATTCGACTGACTAATCTTTATATCTAACAAGAAAACAATAGTTTTGAAACAATTAGCTCTGGGTTCTTGGGAACTTCTACCTCTGGGCTGGTGAATAGGGTTCTACTTGAAAAAACTACTGTCAGAACTATAATCAGTCTCCTTGCAAAATCAGATCAACTCATGTATACTATTTTTTAGACTCTGTTCTCTAAATTTTGTAAAATGATGCCAGGATTGAAAATACCCATTACATTTATACGCTTCTGAACCGGTTTTAAAATTTCAAGATTTGGAAAATGTACTGTGAGATGAGCTGTGCATTCATTTTCCTGATATAGCATGAGAAAAATAAAATAACTCCCACGTACCTTTATCTACACAAGATGACAGCTAATCTCAAGAAAGCTGAAATAATCCAAGCATTTGAAAATATTCCATAGGGTGAAATAAAATTTTTTAAAGAGAATCTTTTTTAAAAATATAGTTCTGCAAGTGATTTTTTCTTCCCTCTTTCTCCATCCTGTACTTTTACAAAATTAAAATTCAAGATCACTAAGAAAAAATGTTTCAAAGAAAACCCAATGAGGGTCCTGGTAGATTTAATCTCTCAATGGCTGTCTATTATTATTAGCATTGAAATTCAATAGATGCTAGAAGTTCACAGTATTTTATTACAATCGTTGGTTCTCTGGGTACTTTGTGGTTCAGATAGCTTAAAGAGCTATCTGTTATGTCCATGGCATTTACAGATTTCAATTGGTTTGTGAATCTCTGGGAGGAAAATGATTCTGCCCTGGGAAAGGAATGGGAATAAGTAATAAATGAATTAATAAATGAGTAGGGATTCATTCATAATGTTTCTATCTAACCAATGAAAACAAAGTGCTTTTGTAAACAGAAAAAATTTTCATTCTGCAAATGATTTCTTCATTGCTGGTGCCTTTGAACTTCAATAGTTTTGTTATTCCTAAACAGCAGTGGAGAACTGACGTTAAGTACTGACAATATATTACCATTTATTTTGCATATCAGAAAAAAAGAGTTATCAAAAACATAAAGTCATCGACTATCTAAGTCATAAGTAAAATGGATAAGGATACTACTAATCTAAGATAAAATATTATGCGTGAAAAACAAATAGGCTATTACTATATACCTTATGAGAAGTTTCCATATTAAGTTCACACCATATAATCTTCAAAATCTGGAAAATTGTATTCTTTTTAGTATGTTTTTTCATTCATGTTGTTCTTAGTGATAATTCAGATTCCTCATGTCTTCAGACATTTTATTAACCAACAAAATTTATTAGATACTCTAATAATACTTAGCTAATGATTTTCAAATAAAGTTTAATACTAAATGATTGTAGCATATGCCTACCTCACAGGTCTATTAAGAGAATTAAATAAAAACTTGTATGTTGGATATTCAAAATATTTTGGTCTTCTATGTAACAAACATCCACCTAAAAGCATGTTATTATAGACAACTGAGTATCTATAGTTCAAACAAAGCACATTGGTATTTAACTTGGTTACTATTATTAAATGAATTGATCAAATATTTATTAAATGCTGACTATGCACCTAGCATGATATAGTAGCTACAGTTTAGTTAGCTACTAAAAGTTTTTAACAAAGTTAAAAGGAAAAGACACAGGCCAGGTGTGGTACTCACACCTGTAATCTTAGCACTCTGGGAAGTGGAGGCAGATGGATCACTTGAGCTCAGGAGTTCGAGACCAGCCTGAGCAAGAACAAGACTCATCTTTATTAAAAATGGAAAAACTAGCCAGGCATTGTGGTGGGAGCTAATAGTCTCAGCTACTTGGGAGGCTAAGCAACAATACCCTTTGGCTCCAAGAATTTGAGGATGCTGTGAGCTATGGTGATGCCAGAGGACGTTAGCCTGGGCAACAGAATGACATTCCATCTCAAAACATAACTAACTAAATAAATAAGACAAAAGATACATATGAAGCAACAATAGAAACTATGAAACTATGCACAGTTATTTGGTACTCAGTTTATGTGTTACAAACTGTGATGGTTTGAGGGGAAAACTGAAAAGCATATAGGAGGTGGAGCCATTATTTCTCAGTGATACATGATACAATAATCCTGTAATTTTCCAATATTATAATAATACCTTCAGCATCATATGGAAGGAATCTGAGACTGACACCTCAGTAAGTCATGTAAACGTAGGATTAACCACTTTAGTGTAAATTACCCAAATAATGTTTCATGCCAACTAATGTTTCACTGTTTGCTATATTCTAGCCTTCATATTCCCTTTCACCTCCCAGGACTTTGTACACACAGCCTTGAAAATAAGATCCTGGGGTTGTTTACAAGCTTTTCATCCACAATGAGAGCTAAATCTTCCTGTATTCCAATGGAGCATAAGGTGGAATTTGCATCTGGGGCTGCAAAGTACAAGTGTTGACTAATCAACACTCTTAGCAGCAGGAACATCATCTCTCAACGTGAGAAATCAAAACATTATGCAAACTCCCAACAAAAAGCAAGGTTACCTTAGGATCAGCTGTGAGTAACTTAAATGCTTGATATACTTGAGTTTCCTTTACACCGCCACCAAGATCCAAGAAGTTGGCTGGCTTCCCACCATTAAGGAAAATGATGTCACAAGTAGCCATGGCGAGCCCAGCACCATTCACTGTGAAATGCAATTGGCATACAAGGAGGGATAAATTTAGCAACATGAAGGATCCATAAACTTTTCCACTCCCCCCTACTGCCAAAAGAGAACCCTGTCATCACAAGGTCAATGTCTGCGGCCTTGTTTGTAATTCCATTGAACCAGATCAGATCACAGAACTGAGAATAACAAAACAAATGCAAAGAATGAATAAAAGCACTTGGGAATAAGAAAATGGATTTATTGAGAAGTTAAGTCTGTCTGGAAAACAGAAAGAAGGAAAAGAGTTTAAGTAAGTAATCATTTTAGACCAGTAGCAAAGGAGAGAGTTTAGATTCTAAAAAGTATTAAGTTTCAGAGAATTTGGAAAGAGGGAAAAAAGCTATGAAAAGATACCTGAGCCTCTAAATTATATTCTTTTTAGTATTCTTTAAGAGACTGGAAAAAATAATAGGATTCTCTAAAACATTTGCTGAGAATATGCTCCTTTGAATGTGGCATCTCCCTGGGATTGAACCACAGGGCCCACCTTTAATAGGATTTCATACTTTTTTACAGTTAGTGCAGTCGTGCATGTTTATATAATGTTATCTGGATAAACTTAGAAAACAATGAACAAATGACAGAACCAAAAACAATATTCTTATCCCTTTGTTCCTTTTTCAAATTAATATAAGAAATGTTCACTAACAATGCAATCATTAAAATTAGAACCATAGGGCTGGCTCTGGTGGCTCATGCCTGTATTCCCAGCAATTTGAGAGGCCAAGGCAGGAGGATTGCTTGAGGACAACAATTTGAGACCATTTGGAGCAACATAGTAGCAAGACTCTGTCTCTTTAAGAAAAAAAGAAAGAAAAAAAAAAAGCAAACAAACAAAAAACACCCCTAGAACCAAAATATGCCTTAGGAGCCTTTCTTACAGAAATCAAGTAGAGTTTTGACCAGGAAATTCTTGTTTTCCAGAGCTAAGTTTTATTGATCAATAATACTTCTTGTTCTTCTTAAGCTTAATTATATGAAATTACTTTCCTCAGGTTACAAAGGAAAAAAGAATCTCCTGAACACAGCAGAAACTTTCAAGGTAGGAGGGGTACCAACTTTTCTTTTCTCTGCACATTGGAAGAATAAGAGTTGAGCTGGACCATGCATTAAATACACAAACACTGACAAAAGCTGATTAGCAAAAAAATGGCCTGTGCATACTTTTCATGGTTTCTGACATGACATATAAGGAAAAAAATGCCCTCACAAAATCAGCATTCAACCTGCGTGCCACAGCTTGGACATCCCTGATAAGTACCCTTTACTTTTTCTGACCCTTGAATTCCCTAGACAAACCTATGAACCATGACTAATTAAGTTTGGGGCAACTAAAATAAAAATGGTTTACATGGGATACAAAAACCATATGAAATGGTTGCATAGTTTTTATGGTTAACTACTTGGTCAAATCATACATGTCCCTGCAGTGGCCGCAAAGAATCTAAATTTGTTCTAAACATACTGCGGCATCTTGTCTCCTTTCTAAATGCCTGCAAATATCAAGAGAGCATTACCTTATCGAGATCAGAACAATGTGAATGATCTGGTACATTACAGTTATTGCTCCAATACAAAGCAAGAGCTTTTGGTATCACTTGTAATCAGATGTCATTTTCTACGGTATTGAACAGCAAACTATGCACAAGACCTCTTCAGTTCTGAATATAATGATACTATTGGTTTAATGAACTACAAATCTTTTTTATTTTAATTCCATTAAGATTAAGACCTCAGTTTCCAGTACAATGAATTGGTTCTACCAGAATCATAGCCTTTGGCAATTAGGTCTAAAGTTTATAAATCTTGGTACTAGAAGCTGTGAACAATAACAGAAATTGTATTGCCTATAATAGACTCATTCTTACTTCAGCTGAATAAGCCATTTTCATGAATTTAGATAATTATGATGAAGTCAACTATTTTATTAATAAACTGGCATAATGGATTAAACATTTTGATTATCTCTGAATCCTCAGTAATATGATTAAATTATATGCCCTCTTGTATACCCTCTGAAAAAGCAATTTTGTTTTAAACTCAAATTTCAGAATAATTCCTAACATATTAACACTGACTTTTTGAGTAGTAAAAGTTCTGTTTTTGTTTTTAAACTAAGCTCAGTTTAACTGAGATTCTTTAAAACAGTAGTTCTCAACTAAAATGATTTTGCATACCTCAGATATTTGAGAATGTCTGGAGACTGACTGACTTTTTGTAAATCATTTATTAAGGTTTTCACAACTGGAGCTATTAGCAGTAGCACCTAGAGGCCAGGATGCTGCTAAACATCTTAAGATGCACAGGACAACTCCCTCTAGCAAAGAATTACCCCACCCAAATCTCAGTAGTGTCAGAGTTGTGACACCCTGCTTTGAACCAGGTACCAGTGATAAAACGAACTTTGAGAAGAATTCTGGACAGTTTCCTAAGACTTTTGGCTATAAGAAACTCACATGTTTATTTCCTACTGGTAAATAACATTTCAGAAATCAGAGTTTCTTAAATTCTATAAAAATCGACAAAGGATTCTTTTGATATATCAACTGCTTCTTACCAAAGCAGGCAATGTTTCCATCCAGTCCTATGTATTTGAGATCATATCTGGCAGCTTCATTTTCAATGGGCTCATTCTCTGATTTGTCATCCATAGCAAATATATCCTTTTGTCGGAATTCTGCGTTGTCATCAAAGTTTATCTTGGCATCAAAACAGACAACTAAATAAAGAAAAAAAGGAACATACCTGAATATCTCTTGAGAGCTACAAATTACATTCTCTAGGCTTGCAGGCACTAGAGAAAGAAAAAGATACTGTCTTTTTTTTTTTTTTTTATGCTATAGCCAGGAGAAGCTACTATGCGTTAACCTTTAAACTTTAGGGCTACAAAGAAAAATAGGACTTGGCTCCTATTCTCAAGGGATTTTATTCAAGTAAAGAGCATATTAAATTTTTTTTTTTTTTTTGAGACACAGTCTCACTTTGTTGCTCTCAGTAGCGTGCTGTGGCATCACAGCTCTTAGCAACCTCAAACTCTTGAGTTCAAGAGATCACCTTGCCTCAGCCTCCAAGTACTTGGACGATAGGCACCTGCCACAACTCCCAGCTATTTTTAGAGACAAGGTCTTTGGCTCAGGCTGGTCTCCAACCTGTGAGCTCAGGCAATCCACCTGCCTCGGCCTCCCAGAGTGCTAGGATTACAGGCATGAGCCACCACACATGGCTGAGCATATTAAATTGCATGTGTTGGTGTCTGTTCAATAAAATAACAATACAAGTTACCATTATTCATTAAAAAATATAGACTAACACAGCTACACACAGCTCTGATTTTCCATTTTTATTTTATTTCTTATTAGTATTTAACCATTGATAATCACTTTTCCCCCTACATGCCAAGAGACTAGATAAAAACTAATCCTTTTTTCCTCCTATGAACAATGGAAAATGAAATTTTTATTGAATCACTAGTCTCTGAAATATTTCCAAAAGACAAGAATGGCAAGAATGCTGGGATAGATTCAGTCATTTTTTAATTTAATCCTTAACTAATTTTGCAACATCTAATTTTTTAAAAAATTGTGTATAGTTGATTCTTGAACAACATGGGTTTGAACTGCATTAGTCCACTTATATGCAGACTTTTACTTAAGGTATTTGAAACTCATAAATATGGAGGGCTGACTTTTCACATACACGGGTTCCACCTGTGTATTTAAGTGCACAGAATGATGCTGATATACATATATACACAGCAAAGTGATTACTGCAGTGAAGAAAATTAACATACCTGTCTCCTCACATAGTTTTGTTTTATGGTTTTTCTGTATGTATGAAAGCACTTGAAATACAGGTGAACCTCTCTAAGTTACCACTCACAGGACTACGACCAACTGGCCAACGTACAGAGGTGGTCAATCTAGCAAACTAGGCCTGCACATGGTGTGTGTCCAGTCTATAAAAATTAGATTGACTTAAGGAGATGGTCAACACAGGGAGGTGGTCAACTATGGAACTTCTACTGTATACTTTTTTTTTTTTTTTAGCAATTTTCAGTATACATTACTAACTGTGTAACTTTGATAAAATAACCTAGTTCCTCTGTGGACCTTGGTTTTCTTTTTTGAAATAAAAAAGGAAACAACAGTCCTTGTTCTACTGATATATTTGCTTGGCGGCGGGAGGGGGGGGTGTGTCTGCTACAACTAGGGCTGTGCCCATGATTCATGTAGGCCATCTTATGACTCTTTTGATTTGAGTCACAAAACACTAGGAAACCTTGACTGATCAGTGCCAGTCAAGGATAATGCCAGGATGCCCGGCATTATCAGCACTGTTGTCTCCACCCTCTGGTACTGGTAGAAATCTCCATGTTATTGGTCAAGAGACTTGGACACAACAAAACTCATTCTGTGATGGGGACAGACCCAAGATTTACAGATGTACTACATGCACAATCAGAGAGAGACTGCAGTGGGGTGGGGTAGTTTTATTGGTATCTCTCTTAGAACAGAAACTGGTTGTCTGTTGTGACATTCCATGATAACATTCTTTTAACTAACTTGGAATACTGACAAGCAGGAATCTTTGACCAAATATACTACTCACTCCTCTCCAGCAGATAGGTACCTGCTTCTTGAGGGTGAAGGGATGGGGTGTGGCCACTGAACAGATCTCACTAAAAAGCAATTAATAGCCATAGTTTGCTAATTCCATTTGCCTCCTAAGAAAAGAAAACATGGTTGTACATGGCATCTGGGGTCATAGGCCCTAGTAGAAGGATTTCCCCAGGGCCGCCATACCACAATATTTAAGCACTTTAATACAAATCAGTACAGAACTGCCATATTATCATCTAAGAATACTTGGTATAAATATAAATCCAGATCACAAATTACTTAAAGTGGCACTGAATGACAAGAAAGAATCTTATGTGGAATTTAATGTCAGCTTGAGTCATTAGTCTTGCCACAAAATGCCCAACTGCTTTGCCTACATGCTGTGAATACATGGAGTAAATGAGTAATTACTTTCCAGAATATTGAAACCTTAATGATGGAATCCTTCAATTACCAAAGGAATCGGCCAATGTTCTCTGCTTGCTACAGTGGCACTTTCTCAGCAGTTAATGACCAGTATAATAATCAATAGGAAAGCAACTCCATTCTTAGCTTTCCACTGGGTTTATAAATACATTCTAATTAATTTATTAGTAATTTTAGTTCCTCTATTACTCATGGGCAAAACTACTTGTAATTGACACCTTCAAAATAAATAGGCAAAGGCTACCAAATTGACTAAGTGAAAAGTTTCAAATAAAAAAATTCTTTGTCAAGATCGATAAACCAGTAAATCAAAACACCTCCAAGCTGCCCTTTGCCCCTTACAAGGACTACTGGTACTAGCTACTTGAGAGAATGCATATAATTAATGGATATGTACGCAAAGTTCACCAGGCAGTCCCAACTAAATGGCTGCAAACGATTTTTAAAAGATGCTTTCCTATAGTAGAACAGTATTTCAAGGGGAACACCTTGACAGAAATTTACAGTTAATACAGAGCTTTACGAAGTTGTCTGAGGGATACATGGGGCATGTACTAATGGCCCCTTGCCAACTGTCTCCCTCTGCCAGTCCCCCTTTAACTGGGTTGACTTATGTATGTCCAAGCACTCTGTAAGTAAGGAGACTTAAGGGTTATGAAAGGAGGGGGCAAAATTAAATTGCCACCCTCAAGATCCAAATCTTTTTGCCTGTAATCCCAACACTTGGGAGGCTGAGGCTGGTGGATTGCCTGAGCTCACGAGTTTGAGACCAGCCTGAGCCAGATGAAGAACCCCCTCTCTAAAAAAAAGATAGCTGGGCATTGTGGCAGGCATCTGTAGTCCCAGGTAGTTAGGAGGCTGAGGAAAGAGAATTGCTTAAGCCCAAGAGTTTGAGGTTGCTGCAAGCTGTTACACTATGGCACTCTACCAAGTGTGACAAAATGAGACTTTTATCTCAAAAAAAAAAAGATCCGAATCTTTTTTCAGTGGAAAGGGGATGAATCACTTTAAAAAGATTATGTAGGGCCTCTCTTAGATACATTTGCCATACCTGCTCAATATTTTAAAAGTAGTGATACTGTGATTTGCAGGAAGAAATATGTATTTTGGTTTTCATTTCCAATTCTTGGCACAGAGCTCCTAAAACCCTTGCAATTTCTTGAGGACCAGGGAGGGGCTAGGAGAATCTTTTGTTCTCTTGTTTGGTCTTTGACCCTGGTTCCTAACACAGAGCTCCTGTGTATCTCTGACTAATTGGCTAATCTTTTGGAATTTCTTGGGAGACAAGAGTCTTTTCTTCCTATAAGGCAACTCTTGGTGAGCTCCTGGACAGTGCTGGTCACCAGAGGGACCAAACTATGGTCAGAAGCTTAGAATTTTCAGCCTCACCCTCATTCTTCTAAGAAAGTGAAAAGGGCTGGTGACTGCTCATGTCTATGTGATGATGCCTCTATAAAAATCCCCAAACTATGAGGTTCTGAAGAGCGTTTGAGCTGCTGAACATGGAGGGGGAGAGGGGATGGGGCTTGCCTGTAGAGGGCAAGGAACGTCCTCTTGCCTTCTCATATCTTGTTACGTACCTCTTTATATAGCTATTCTTTCGTACCTTTAATATAAAGGTAATATATTGTAATAATTTGGCAGTTTGTAAATGAAGTATTTCTCCGAGTTCTAAGAGCCATTTCATTACAGCAAATAATTGGACCTAAAGAGGTGGTTATAGGAATCCCATATTTATAGCTAGTTAGTCAGAGGTATGAGAAACGTAAGTCTGTGACTGGCATCTGAAGTGGGGACAGTCTTGTGAGACTGAGGCCTTAACCTGGGGGATCCAAGTCTAACTCCAAGGAGATAGTATCAGAATAAAATTGAATCCTAGGACACTGAGCTGTGTTAAAGATCAGTCAGTGTGGGAAAAACTCACACTTATGGTCCCAGGAGTACTCTGTGCTAAGAGTACAGAAAGAGAAAACAATTTGTTTTTTTCCTCTAATAGTTCCAAGAATACAAAAGTGCCTTACTGCCTCAGTCTACAAAATTGCATCACATAAATGCTTTCCTTAGAACTTGACAATTTAATGTAGTCTCTGATATCAAAAACACCTGGGTGTAAATTACAACCCTGGTACTTCCCAGCCATCCAGCCAGCCCTGGGCACAGAATCTCTCATAAGCCCAGTGGCCCTATCTACACAATGGGGATCAGAGTATTTTCTCTTCTATAGTACATGCTGTTGGTGGAAGGAGACAGGACATGCAGAGCACCAGCCTCCCAGACAACGGGCCCTTGCTGGCTGCTGTATCACTGCCACCCAGCCTCCTACATGCACAAAGCCTTTCTACACTTACAGCTTGTCATAATTGTGGCCCAGATGAGAGAGCTCTCCTCTCTTCCTATCACTAAAAATTACCTGTACAATCCCAGATTTTTATTTAGAGCAAATCTTAGTGAATGTCTTCTAAAGTTTGCAAATGTACAGGTTACCTGTGGTTTTCAATAAAATGCTACCTTCTGAATACATCAGAATTTTCCCAAAGAAAAGATTTCAATGATTGGTATTTTAGGCATTGTAACTGATAGATAAAGGTAATTTTTGCCTGAAGGATGAAGACAAAACAGAGGCCTTTGGTGACCCTCTAATCACCTTTGCAAAAGGCCAAGGTTGCTAAAGGTT